CTCACTGTCTATATGAGCAAACCATTTTTGTGAATGGGGTGGTGTACCTAATAAACTGGCCACAGTGCATGTTTGCTGCAGACAGACAAGAGAAAACATGAGGAAATTAGTTTTGATCAGTCATGGAAATAAAATTGCTGAAAACATGTTGGCTTACAAAAAAAAATTAAGATGGGGAACCATCTGGAGTTTTAGCACTGGTACAGCCAACCAGCGCTAGCTAAACTGTCAACTAGATTATTTATGCATTTCTTCTATTGATTTACTATATCACTAATGTGTATACTGCAATTTCAGAGTGAATATTATATAGTTGAGTCTTTAGCTCTAAATTAGGCATACAGTGGCTTGCGAAAGTATTCACCCCCCTTGGCATTTTTCCTATTTTGTTGCCTTACAACCTGCATTAAAATTGATTTTTGGGGGGTTTGTCTCATTTGATTTACACAACATGCCTACCACTTTGAAGATGCAAAATATTTTTTTGTGGTGAAACAAACAAGAAATAAGACAAAAAAACTGAAAACTTGAGCGTGCATAACTATCCAACCCCCCAAAGTCAATACTTTGAAGAGCCACCTTTTGCAGCAATTACAGCTGCAAGTCTCTTGGGGTATGTCTCTATAAGCTTGGCTCATCTAGCCACTGTGATTTTTGCCCATTCTTCAAGGCAAAACTGCTCCAGCTCCTTCAAGTTGGATGGGTTCCACTGGTGTACAGCAATCTTTAAGTCATACCACAGATTCTCAATTGGATTGAGGTCTGGGCTTTGACTAGGCCATTCCAAGACATTTAAATGTTTCCCCTTAAACCACTCAAGTGTTGCTTCAGCAGAATGCTTAGGGTCATTGTCCTGCTGGAAGGTGAACCTCCGTCCCAAATCTCTGGAAGACTGAAACAGGTTTCCCTCAACAATTTCCCTATATTTAGAGCCATCCATCATTCCTTAAATTCTGACCAGTTTCCCAGTCCCTGCCGATGAAAAACATCCCCACAGCATAATGCTGCCACCACCATGCTTCACTGTGGGAATGGTGTTCTCGGGGTGATGAGAGGTGTTGGGTTTGCGCCAGACATAGCGTTTTCCTTGATGGATAAAAAGCTCAATTTTAGTCTCATCTGACCAGAGTACCTTCTTCCATGTTTGGGGAGAATTGGTTGCACCAGATCTTATTTAGGGGCTTCATAGCAAAGGGGGTGAATACATACAGTATCTCACAAAGGTGAGTACACCCCTCACGTTTTTGTAAATATTTGAGTATATCTTTTCATGTGACAACACTGAAGAAATGACACTTTGCTACAATGTAAAGTAGTGAGTGTACAGCTTGTATAACAGTGTAAATTAGCTGTCCCTTCAAAATAACTCAACACACAGCCATTAATGTCTAAACCGCTGGCAACAAAAGTGAGTACACCCCTAAGTGAAAATGTCCAAATTGTGCCCAATTAGCCATTTTCCCTCCCCGGTGTCATGTGACTCGTTAGTGTTACAAGGTCTCAGGTGTGAATGGGGAGCAGGTGTGTTAAATTTGGTGTCATCGCTCTCATGCTCCCTCATACTGGTCACTGGAAGTTCAACATGGCACCTCATGGCAAAGAACTCTCTGAGGATCTGAAAAAAAGAATTGTTGCTCTACATAAAGATGGCCTGGGCTATAAGAAGATTGCCAAGACCCTGAAACTGAGCTGCAGCACAGTGGCCAAGACCATACAGCGGTTTAACAGGACAGGTTACACTCAGAACAGGCCTCGCCATGGTCGACCAAAGAAGTTGAGTGCACGTGCTCAGCGTCATATCCAGAGGTTGTCTTTGGGAAAAAGACGTATGAGTGCCGCCAGCATTGCTGCAGAGGTTGAAGGGGTGGGGGTGGGGGGGGGGGTCAGCCTGTTAGTGCTCAGACCATACGCCGCACACTGCATCAAATTGGTCTGCATGGCTGTCGTCCCAGAAGGAAACCCCTTCTAAAGATGATGCACAAGAAAGCCCGCAAACAGTTTGCTGAAGACAAGCAGACTAAGGACATGGATTACTGGAACCATGTCATGTGGTCTGAGGAGACCAAGATACTTATTTGGTTCAAATGGTGTCAAGCGTGTGTGGCGGCAACCAGGTGAGGAGTACAAAGACAAGTGTGTCTTGCCTACAGTCAAGCATGGTGGTGGGAGTGTCATGGTCTGGGGCTGCATGAGTGCTGCCGGCACTGGGGAGCTACAGTTCATTGAGGGAACCATGAATGCCAACATGTACTGTGACATACTGAAGCAGTGCATGATCCCCTCCCTTCAGAGACTGGGCCGCAGGGCAGTATTCCAACATGATAACGACCCCAAACACACCTCCAAGACGACCACTGCCTTGCTAAAGAAGCGGAGGGTAAAGGTGATGGACTGGCCAAGCATGTCTCCAGACCTAAACCCTATTGAGCATCTGCGGGGCATCCTGAAACAGAAAGTGGAGGAGTGCAAGGTCTCTAACATCCACCAGCTCTGTGATGTCGTCATGGAGGAGTGGAAGAGGACTCCAGTGGCAACCTGTGAAGCTCTGGTGAACTCCATGCCCAAGAGGGTTAAAGCAGTGCTGGAAAATGATGGTGGCCACACAAAATATTGACACTTTGGGCCCAATTCTGTTGCCAGCGGTTTAGACATTAATGGCTGTGTGTTGTGTTATTTTGAGGGGACAGCAAATGTACACTGTTATACAAGCTGTACACTCACTACTTTACATTGTAGCAAAGTGTCATTTCTTCAGTGTTGTCACATGAAAAGATATACTCAAATATTTACAAAAATGTGAGGGGTGTACTCACTTTTGTGAGATACTGTATGCACGCACCACTTTTCCGTTATTAATTTTTTTAGAATTGTTTTCATTTCACTTCACCAATTTGAACTATTTTGTGTATGTTCATTACATGAAGTCCAAATAAAAATCCATTTAAATTACAGGTTGTAATGCAACAAAGGAGGGAAAAACGCCAAGGGGGATGAATAATTTTGCAAGGCACTGTATATATCAATTCATTGTTTGATATCAAGAGGGATTGATATAGATAAAGCAAGTGATTTATGTAGATACAGTGAGGGGAAAAAAGTATTTGATCCCCTGCTGATTTTGTACGTTTGCCCACTGACAAAGACATGATCAGTCTATAATTTTAAATGGTAGGTTTATTTGAACAGTGAGACAGAATAACAACAAAAAAATCCAGAAGAACGCATGTCAAAAATGTTATAAATTGATTTGCATTTTAATGAGGGAAATAAGTATTTGACGCCCTCTTAATCAGAAAGATGTCTGGCTCCCAGTTGTCTTTTATACAGGTAACGAACTGAGATTAGGAGCACACTCTTAAAGGGAGTGCTCATAATCTCATCTTGTTAACTGTATAAAAGACACCTGTCCACAGAAGCAATCAATCAATCAGATTCCAAACTCTCCACCATGGCCAAGACCAAAGAGCTCTCCAAGGATGTCAGGGACAAGATTGTAGACCTACACAAGGCTGGAATGGGCTACAAGACCATCGCCAAGCAGCTTGGTGAGAAGGTGACAACAGTTGGTGCGATTATTCGCAAATGGAAGAAACACAAAAGCACTGTCAATGTCCCTCTGCCTGGGGCTCCGTGCAAGATCTCACCTCGTGGAGTTGCAATGATCATGAGAACGGTGAGGAATCAGCCCAGAATTACACGGGAGGATCTTGTCAATGATCTCAAGGCAGCTTGGACCATAGTCACCAAGAAAACAATTGGTAACACACGACGCCGTGAAGGACTGAAATCCTGCAGCGCCAGCAAGCACATATACAGGCCCGTCTGAAGTTTGCCAATGAACATCTGAATGATTCAGAGGAGAACTGGATGAAAGCGTTGTGGTCAGATGAGACCAAATCGAGCTCTTTGGCATCAACTCAACTCGCCGTGTTTGGAGGAGGAAGAATGCTGCTATTGACCCCAAGAACACCATCCCCACCGTCAAACATGGAGGTGGAAACATTATGCTTTGGGGGTGTTTTTCTGCTAAGGGAACAGGACAACTTCACCGCATCAACGGAACGATGGACGGGGCCATGTACCGTCAAATCTTGGGTGAGAACCTCCTTCCCTCAGCCATGGCATTGAAAATGGGTCGTGGATGGGTATTCCAGCATGACAATGACCCAAAACACACGGCCAAGGCAACAAAGGAGTGGCTCAAGAAGAAGCACATTAAGGTCCTGGAGTGGCCTAGCCAATCTCCGGACATTAATCCCATAGAAAATCTGTGGAGGGAGCTGAAGGTTTGAGTTGCCAAACGTCAGCCTCAAAATCTTAATGACTCGGAGAAGATCTGCAAAGAGGAGTGGGACTAAATCCCTCCTGAGATGTGTGCAAACCTGGTGGCCAACTACAAGAAACATCTGACCTCTGTGATTGCCAACAAAGGTTTTGCCACCAAGTACTAAGTCATGTTTTGCAGGGGGGTCAAATACTTATTTCCCTCATTAAAATAAAAATCAATTTATAACATTTTTGACATGTGTTTTTCTGGATTTTTTTGTTGTTATTCTGTCTCTCACTGTTCAAATAAACCTACCATTAAAATTATAGACTGATAATTTCTTTGTCAGTGGGCAAACGTACAAAATCAGCAGGGGATCAAATACTTTTTTCCCCTCACTGTACATGTCTAGGGCAACAAGAAATGACAGTAGAGAAGCTGCATGTATTTAATTATAGCAAGTTGACTAACAAAATATCCTACCAAATGTCGGAAATAAGAACAATATATAAATTAGGCTTAAAACCCCTAAATATCCAAATTAGGCTTTTTGCCGCACCACCTGTCAAAAAATAATTATGGGATCTCTGCTTCACATCTGAACATTAATAAAGAGCAGCTTGCCTTGTGGGAAGGACTGTAGTCATCCCTTGTGTATTGTAACAGTTTAATCCTAGTGTTTGAAATTCTCCTGCACTTCAACCCACACTCAAAACCATCTGTTTTTAAATAACTACTCCCCATGGACTGGTATCTGACCCACTCCGTGGTTTGACTCCAGGCCAGGTTGGCCATAGGCGAGTGCCGCGTCAGTGTTACAGAGAGAGGTCTTACCTGGCCTCTTGGCGCGGATGACCTGCTTGATCATGGAGGACATGATATCTCGGAGGTCATCAGCGGTGTGGGACAGACACCAGCCGTCCCTCTCGTCACACCCCTCCTCCTGGCCATCGTTCCGATGAATCACGTTTCTTATGCTGAGCCAGGAGCAGAGTCATAACATTAGACACAAACAGACAACAAAATGCAGAGATCTTTGCCACTTCTACTCTATGGGCAATTCCAAATGAGATTGGCCCAAAGATATTTCTGATGTTTTGGATCTTTCCATTGAAAGGTAATTTGGGGGAAGGATGTTAGGCATATCTTTGAAGTCTGTATCCACAATGATTATTGAGAAGTAATTGACCAAAATTGGGAAATGTGACATTTTGGCCTTACCCACACCACCTTTTAGACACTATAACGATGAGTCTGTAGAGGCTAAACAGAACAAAAATATAAACGCAACATGTAAAGTCTTGGTCCCATGTTCATGAGCTGGAATAAAAGATCCCAGAAATGTTCCATAAGCACAAAAAGCTAATTTCTCTCAAGTTTTGGGCACTAATGTGTTTAGATCCCTCTTAGTGAGCATTTCTCCTTTGCCAAGATAATCCATCCACCTGACAGGTGTGGCATATCAAGAAGCTGATTAAACAGAGTGATCATTACACAGGTGCACCTTGTGCTGGGGACAATAAAAGGCCACTCTAAAATGTGCAGTTTTGTCACACAGCACAATGCCATAGATATCTCAAGTTTTGAAGGAGAATGCAATTGGCATCCTGACTACAGGAATCTCCACTGGAGCAGTTGCCAGATAATTGAATGTTCATTTCTCTACCATAAGCTGCCTCCAATGTTGTTTTAGAGAATTTGGCAGTACCTCCAACCGACCTCACAACTGCAGAACACGTGTAACCACACCAGCCCAGGACCTCCACATCCGGCTTCTTCAGCTGCGGGATCGTCTGAGACCAGCCACCCGGACAGCTGATGAAACTGAGTAGTATTTATGTCTGTAATAAAGCCCTTTTGTGGGGAAAAACTCATTCTGATTCATTTATGGATTTCACATGACTGGGCAGGGGCGCAGCCATGGGTGGGCCTGGGAGGGCATAGGCCCACCCACTGAGGAGCCAGGCCCACCCATGGCTGCGCCCCTGCCCAGTCATGTGAAATCCATAAATGATGGCCTAATTTATTTATTTCAATTGACTGATATCCGTATATGAACTGTAACTCAGTAAAACCATTGAAATTGTTGCATGTTGCGTTTATATTTTTCTTCAGCCATTATTAACATCACAAATGTTTAGGTATCTTAAGATGAATGCACTAACTGTAAGTCGCTCTGGATAAGAGCGTCTGCTAAATTACTTAAATGTAAATAAATATATTTGGGCCAATGGTATCGCCCATATTCCATGTTGGATTCTACCTCTGCACGTCCAGATCACAGAGCTGGTAGAACATTTGCCTGTGGGGGGGGCAGGGTTCCATCTCTCGAAATATGTACGACGACTCCTGGACAAACAGGAGACAGGGGAGTTAGCATGTGAGGTCTTATTACTGTATCATTATTCTTATATGTACAGTGTTAACATGTAGAGCGTGTGAATAAGTTGTGGGAAAGTCTTTAGTCCAATACCTTGAGCTGGTACCTGGTTATATTAGCATTACGTCCACCGGCAGGGCCCTCAGGGGCTAAATCTGTAACATTAGCAGCCTGTTGAACTGAACAACGAAGAGGGACATTAGCGAGACAATCATCACTAAGACACACACCCAGTCACACACAAATACACACAGACTCCATGCCCAGTTGCTCACCTGCTTTGTTGAGTGTGATTGGCAGGGTATAGTTGAACGTGCTCCTCTTGGCCTTCACTGGCATGTCATTTATAGTATATCCTAAAGACAGTCACATGGGGGAAACAGACAGGGTCTCATAAAACAAAGCATGAGGACTGTATTAACAAAGGCTGTGGGATTCAATTGTATTGTGTCCCTTCAGATTAGTTTGAACCAAACCTCGACCCTCCCCCCACTTCTCACTGTGCTTGGTACTGCAGCGGATCCTGAAGTCCAGCACCTGGTATTTCTTGGCCTCTGTTGTTTTGCAGGGGTCGTGCCAAACCTCACCCAGAGGCTCCTCCAGGGGCATGTCACCTTAGAGGAAACACATGTCAGGTTTGGATGGAATTTGAGTTTATTATGAGGACTTTGCTTTAATTTCATATCAAGTTGATTAAATAAGTCACTTTTTGTTTCTCTTCTTTCTCCTTCTCTCTATTAACCACTTCACAAGAGTTTCAATTTAAGTGAATTCTGGAATTATACACGACATGGCCTGTAAATTGAGAGATTTCATTTTTTTGCCAGAATTTTTGCCGGCCCACCCCAACCCGAATCTTATGACACTACCTTAAGTCAAAATCAGTAAGTTTCGATTTTAACAACAACTAACCTTTAATTCATTACATTTTCATATCTTTAATCAAAAGTGAGAGAAGCAATAAATACATTTACTCAAATTGTATTTTTCAAATTATCTCCAAAAAGTTTGTATATTGTCCCATACAATAACACCATTGCAATTCCCCCTACCCCGACTTTGAATACCACTGGCGGTCTAGATCTCCTTTACATATAGTAGGCCATGATAGGGAGCAGCAGCTTGAGTTTATCAGGGTGGATGTCCAGGTTGGCCTTGACCGCGTTCCGGGACCAGATGGGCCGGCTCTCAAACATCTACACACAGTGTGGTTTGGGAAAAGATAACACAGAGGGGACATCAAAGCTATGTACGCAACATTAAGTAACACTTTCTATGTGTACATTTTCCATGGGCAAATACTGTAGGAACATCATCTGTATATGGTGATGTAAAGAGGCTAAATCATAGAGAAAATACAAACTAGCATAAGTAAACACTTGAGTGCAATAGGAGAAAAAAGAAAGGATCAAACTGACAAAAAAGTTATGTTCCTATGCATCTGTGTTAAACAATAATACTAAAACGTTTTAAACGTGAAAACAGCATCCCTTGTGTGTGACCGGTTCATGCAGACTTCACAATGGCTTGTAAAACAAGTAACAGAGAAACAACCTCAGAAGCCCAATGCAGTGTACTGACTTTTTTTCATTTGTTCCCTCTGTCACTGGGGTGAACACACACCCTCTTCCAGTTGACCTTGGCAGCCTCCAGGGGGGCCATGGGGACGTTCTGGTCGTCAAAGTTGAGGAAAATGGCGTTGTGAGGCCGACGTGCTCGACTCAAACCAATCACATTATCCCTGGATACTGTCGGGGGACAATAGCCTTCTTTGCACAGAAGACAAGTCCACAATGGTTTAGCTAAACTTAATCAATACAGAAAGATATTGGCATGGCACCCCTATGGGTTGTCCAATGGCCACATCTATTAGCACCTGCATCTTTATAACTAAATAAGGGGATTCCTGTCTTCCTCCTGTTGTTGAACACGCCGTTGTGTAACGTTATTGGGGGGGGGGGGGGGGGGGGGGGGGATCCTAATGCATTACTACTGACACACTACATAACATGTTGATGTCCACTGGCATATTTGTTCCTGAGCTGAACACACGACCTCTGATGAGGGTGAAACTGTGTGTAGTGTTGCTCCCACGCCTGCCCCAGTGCACCTGCTTACTTGTGTTGGATTTCAGGTCGGTAGTTGTAGTCCACAGCACTGTCCAGGCGAGAGAAGATGGGTGGAGGAAGGAAGAGGGGCACCGGCTGCTCAAAGAACTCATTATTCTCTGGTTTATGCAAGATTATCTTATTGTAAAGGGATGTATGTGAGCCGACCTTTGCTGAATGCACCGCAAGATACTGGAAGTCAGCCATCCCTGCAACAATAAACAAATGTACAACATACATCAACAAATAGACAATGAAGAGTAATAACAGCACAGATCAAAGTAGGGAGGCAATGGGAAGGAATCACACAGTGATATAATGGGGTCAAGTGTTTGGAGTTTAAGAGTATGTTGTCCCAATGACACCCAGGACGTCCATGTTGATTTGGGCTTCCTTGGAGTTGCCTTTGCGCACCCTCCTTTTCACGCGCAGCAGCAGGTTGGTGGATGGGAAACAGTTTCCACAGACAGGGTGGCAGAACGGGTCCTGGGGACGAAAGCGCAGCTCCAACCGCCTGCTGGGGTCAGCATAGGTCTGTGGAGAAACACTTCCTGTTTAGTTTATCATAGTCAACAGAACAATACAAATGGTGGTGGTGAGTATGGGAACAACATATCATGTGAGCAGGTAGGCATAGCTGCACTAGCTAGCTAGCGCCTCAGTACAGTAAACAAATACGGTGTGAATTATAACATAGCTCATCAAGACTAGCTAGCTATAACGTTACATGCATAAACTTAGCAAGCTGACTAGTCGCGCATGCATTGATTGACGTGTGTAGGTTGCTCACCTTGGACACCCCTTGAACACCCCCAATAGTTTCCAGCATCTTGTCCACATTGGAGATAATCCCTGGATATTTCACACAGACGAGTTTATTGTCCTCTGATAGGGAAAGAGTCGCCGAGCTCTCAGGCACACCACCGACAGTGGTAGCTTCATCGCCTGCGCTGCCCGAGCCGGTTCTCTCTTTCATTGTCAAATTCTAATCGTCCAGCCACCGACTGGCAAAAAGTGCTCTTCACTGACGAGTCGCGGTTTTCTCTCACCAGGGGTGATGGTCGGATTCGCGTTTATCGTCGAAGGAATGAGCGTTACACCGAGGCCTGTACTCTGGAGCGGGATCGATTTGGAGGTGGAGGGTCCGTCATGGTCTGGGGCGGTGTGTCACAGCATCATCGGACTGAGCTTGTTGTCATTGCAGGCAATCTCAATGCTGTGCGTTACAGGGAAGACATCCTCCTCCCTTATGTGATACCCTTCCTGCAGGCTCATCCTGACATGACCCTCCAGCATTACAATGCCACCAGCCATACTGCTCGTTCTGTGTGTGATTTCCTGCAAGACAGGAATGTCAGTGTTCTGCCATGGCCAGTGAAGAGCCCGGATCTCAAACCCAATGAGCACGTCTGGGACCTGTTGGATCGGAGGGTGAGAGCTAGGGCCATTCCCCCCAGAAATGTCCAGGAACTTGCAGGTGCCTTGGTAGAAGAGTGGGGTAACATCTCACAGCAAGAACTGGCAAATCTGGTGCAGTCCATGAGGAGGTGACACCCTGCAGTACTTAATGCAGCTGGTGGCCACACCAGATACTGACTTACTTTTGATTTTGACCCCCCCTTTGTTCAGGGACACATTATTACATTTCTGTTAGTCACATGTCTGTGGAACTTGTTCAGTTTATGTCTCAGTTGTTGAATCCTGTTATGTTCATACAAATATTTACACATGTTAAGTTTGCTGAAAATAAACGCAGTTGACAGTGAGAGGACGTTTCTTTTTTTGCTGAGTTATATATATATATATATATATATATATATATATATATACACACACACACACAAAAATAACACCACCCTACTCAACTATTTAATTATTTTTAGTCCTACCTCAGGCCAACAACCTGAAAGGATGGGACACCACCACTTAACACACCCTGTAACTCTTCTGATGTCAAGTCTCACACACCCAAATACCTCTCTGCAGCTGCCAACACAACCTCAATTTTCTGCGACTTACGTTCCATCCCTGCAGTAGTTGATAACCATTGCTATGAATGCTAAAAATCTAATCTTACTGAAACATATATCACTTGTTGGTCTATCCCTCTGTACTGGTACAGATCTACTACTCACACCACTCCTCTCAGGATCCGTCGCTCTTGACCCCTTCCTCTACTTTCTTCACTGCCTCAGCATATGACAACTTCTGCACTACTCTAACCCTGGAAACCTCAACCTGCCTCTCTCGCACAGGACATTTCTGATTCCTACAATTAACACATACCACTACTTTTTCCCCAATGCTACTTTCCCCTTATGCACACTTCTCACACATTTTTGTCATTTAGCAGATGCTCTTATCCAGAGCGACTTACAGTTAGTGAGTGCATACATTTTATTTTATTTTTCATACCCCCCGTGGGAATCGAACCCACAACCCTGGCGTTGCAAACGCCATGCTCTACCAACTGAGCTACATCCCTGCCGGACATTCCCTCCCCTACCCTGGACGACGCTGGGCCAATTGTGCGCCGCCCCATGGGTCTCCCGGTCGCGGCCGGCTACGACAGAGCCTGGATTCGAACCAGGATCTCTACCCTCACCTTAGACCACTGCGCCACTCGGGAGGCCTCCCTCCTACACACTGCTGCCACATGGCCATAAGCTTGGCCATAAGCTTGACCCCTATAACAACGTAATGCATTCAGCACAAAAACTCGTACAGGATAACTTATATATCTTAACATCACTTTGTCGGGCAAAGACTCAACGTCAAAACTCAAAAGAACAGACAATGACTTATTTCACCACTCGCGTCGCACCAAACAACGAGCATCACAAACACTTTCACATTTACCGCTACCCCAGTAATCCCTTTCAATGGAGCCCTGTTCTTGAGAGCAAAACAATTCACATTTCTTGCCCCATTTCGTTTAACGCGGAACGCCTTCTCCCTCTGACCAGCAGAAACACAAACAATTATCCCTTCTGGTTACCCTCACCGATTCCACAGCACCCAACTCTGTTTTCACCCACCCTGAAACCACAAATGGATCAGCCAAAAGGAAAAGTGTCCACTTTTTCCAAAAACGTAACTCCTACTGTCAAAGACTCATCTTTATTCTGACCCTTGGTGCAAGCCTCGGGCTCCGATAACCTCGCCACACCTACCACCTCCAATACTTTGCCCTCATTCACTTCCATTTCTCCTCCTGTCTTCAGCTCACTCTGCTTACACTTTCTACAATTCTTCTTTAACAAACCATCTCCCTTTTTTCCCGCCATTTTTAACCGACTCAAGCTCACCCTCTTCCTCCCGCTCTCTCTTAGACCTCCTCTGCCTCTTTTTCCCTCCATTCCTCCTCTGTATTCAAAGTATACGTCTCCTTATGATAGTACTGCAATTCTCCTGACATACATATTGTTCTTGCCTTCTCAAGGGACACCATTTAACCGGCTGTCACAATCTCCGTACAATCAGCACGAACCCCTCGGGATGTAGCGCTCAACAGTGCATCCCACTTATAAAGCAGCTGCTTCGTCTTGCTGTTCTTCTTTATCAAAAGCTACCACAACGCTTTTCAATTTCTTCTTCTTCATCTTCTCCTTCTTCTACATCCAAAAGTTGTATTGCCGCCACCAACTGGACGTTTTGAAACCAAAAATAAAATTAAAAAATAAATAAATCCATACTTAGTGATTCTAACAATCCACCCTAATAAAAATACTACATTACCAAAACAAACAAAACTCCCACTTCTTCCTTCTTTTAGTTCTCCATATCTCGCTTCTCAGGCTCTACGACCTGAGAAGGTAGTACGACTTTTGCTAATATTCCATGTAACTCCTTTGCTGTGAAATCTTTCAGCCCCAGGAACTGCTCTGCTGCAATCACAATGACTTCAATCTTCCTAAATATTTTCTCCACCTTGGCAGTGCCATTTATCTCCATTGCGATAAAGGCCACAAAGTCCACCTTTTTTACCTTTAAAATGTCAGGATCCTCTTGGTGTAAGACAACACCTGCAGCCTCCAGTGAAGGCCTATCCATTACCATGGAGTCTTCAGGCGCAACATTCAAACCCTCAACCCTTTTCACAGCTTCTGCATATGAAATGCTCTGTACAACCCTGACTTTGGCCACCTCATTTTCCTTTACCCATGTGGGGCATTCAGAAGACGTGGCTTCATGATTCCCACCGCAATTACAACATGTCACATTTTCTTCACTTTTATAACACTTAATATGATATTTTCCACATCTTGTACATCTTGGCTTCTCCCTTCTGCAAACACTTTCTACATGACCAAAAGTTTTACAATGTTCACACTGCATTGTTTTTGGGATAAATGCACTAACTCTGTAGTTAATATACCCTAAACGCACTTCATTAGGGAGATACTTTTTCCCCATTCACCACTCGATTCATCCGACGTGCTTCAATCACTCCAGGAATATTTTTAATCTCTTCCAAATCATTTTCCCACGAAATGCCAGATATAACCCCCTTAAGGGGTGACCTGTTCCGAAGCGACACACACAACACTTCAAACGTATCAAATCGATTAAGACAACGCACGTTTCTTCTGATCCGCTGAATCACAAAAAATCAAAACAAGCCCGCCTCTCGTGATCCTCACATCCTTCACTTTACCCAGCACTCTCTCCACCAGTTTAGATAACTCAAATGGTTTCTTCAAGATTGGTACTCTGCTCAGCTGCTCCTTATTAACAAACCGTACTCCTACTAGATACGAAGGGTCATTATCATCACTGTACCCTACTTTGCTCCGTTTTCCATTCTTTTGAACAATACTCAAATTCTCCTTGATTATACCGCCATTGTATTCAGATTCCACTTCATCATCCGCTTCCGCCATCTTCCCCCAATCTCCCTCCTGACTTGTCCGAGTTCTGCGCAGTTTTTCGCGCTCTTCCAACCACCATCCACCCTACAGCGTTGTCTCCTGCCCCAGAGCCATCCTCCGGGTGTTTTTCTTGTTCTTCAGTGGGGTTTATCGGCGGTTGGCATCCAACGTTATGGTGCATTGTCGCCACCTACTGTACTGCAAGAGGCGGGGAGAAACTAAATTCTGCCAGCCCCGTTGCTCTTAAAAAAGATAACAAAATATTTGAGACTATATCTAATGACTTTCTACTCAATAAACTAATTTCCTGTATCCGCTTCTCCCTCATACTAGATCTCACCCTCTCTGTTTCCCTCTGATACTGCCCACACTGTAGCAATACATGCTCCATGGTCTCTGTTCCTGGCAATAATCACACTTTCCTGTTGGATGCTTTCCTATCACTTTTAAAGTCTTATTCAACTGGCTGTGTTCCACCCTTAATCTTGTAAAAATAGCCTCCTCTCTTCTGTCCCTTCCCCAACTTTCCTCTGTACTTGAAATAAATGCCTGCCCTTACATTTTACATTTGTTATATATTTTAGTCATTTAGCAGACGCTCTTCTCCAGAGCGACTTACAGTTAGTGAGCGCATACATTTTTCATACTGGCCCCCCGTGGGAATCAAACCCACAACCCTGGCATTGCAAGCACCATGCTCTACCAACTGAGCTACAGGAGGCCCTTAGTATCTCTATTCCACTGCTCCTGCCATCACTGTCCATATCGGGCTTTTTCCCTCTGCCTTGCTCATTGAAACTACAACATCCCCACTACTAAGTGCTTGTTTAGCCAGTACATCAACTGCCTCGTTCCCCTCCACCCCCACATGGGCTGGGACCCAAGTAAATATTATCTGTATACCCATCTGTCTAATCCTGCCATGGGTTTGTAGCACCTCATAAAGCAGGTCTTGTCT